CCTCCACAAAACCACAAATTCAACAAATGCCCTCAGAAGGCCCCCAGGTTCTGCACAATTATTTTCCAAAGAGGAGATCTCTATTCTTCTCCCAAAAGTAACAGTTAAAATATAACCAGTTTTGTATTTGTCAGATAATAGGGCTTGATGCACAAGCTGCACCTGAAAGAACTGGAGGTGTGGCTTCAGAAGTCAGGTGAAGTCCCATTGGAAAGACCGACTGAACAGAGAAAGAAGAGGCAGGTGGCAAGACAAAAGCCCAAGAGGCAGCCAAGCTCTCTGAAAAGCTGCAGAAAAGTCAAGGATAAGTGTACCAGGAAAGAGACGTGCCTGGGCCAACTCATGGCAATTCTGTGAAGAATTTTTCACAGTGTATCACAAATGGCAGCATCCAACAAACCCTTCCTGTCACCTTCCTTTCCAGGAGGTGATAACTGATCCTTAGGAAAGTTTTCTACCTTAGCAGGAGGATGCCTTCATGTGGCACGGTGTGCTGCATGGCTCGCTGCACACTTGATACCACTCTGCTCTTGCTCCAAATGACTTGTCCTAGGAAAAGTGCTGAGCTTTTGCAAAGTATTTACTCACAAAAATATTACAAAACAATAAGGCATCATTCGTTCTTGGAAAGAAAGTCCCCCTAAATAATTTTCTTTGGGGAATTTACAGATTTGTGCAAAATCTCTCAAATGTGACCAAAAAGAACTCGGAAGAAAAAAAAAAAAAAAAAAAAGCAAGAGTTGCCTGAGCCACAGCTGGATGCCTCTGACACCAATTGCTCCCTTAAGCCTGTCTTTCACCAGTGCTAGTATTACCCTTAGTTTTCCTTTTTGCTTCTCCTGAGACAACAGCTAACAGGTGCAATGACTTTCCAATAAATCACGTGTAGAAACAAGAATGCGTGTACAGCAGAAAAGCAGGGAGTACAATTTCTTCCAGCGATGGCATATGGGTGGCTTCAGGTTTGGCTTTCAGGGGTCACCCTTCTTCAGCACATCTGGCTGCGATGCCTTGGCTTCGGTCAAGCTTCTGCCTGGCCTTCGACACGCACGAAGGCTTTTGCCTTTCCACCTTTCACGTAACGAGGTGCAGGGAGCCGCCGTCGCCCGCCTCGCAGCCCTCCCAGCCTGACCACCCCAAGCCCCAGCACTTGGGGCAGGTCAGCTCCAAACCTTTTCCGTAAGCCAAACAAACCGTGCTCCGAGATTTCCGTGATGCTGGAAGAGCACATGTTTTCCACTACTGCATGTGAGATCTCTCCTGGGACAAAGCACAACGCTGCTTTTTCTCTTGCTTTAAATATATTTGCAGAAAGCCACCAGAAAGTTAAAGAATTTTCTAGAAGAAAAGAGTCTTTGGCTCTTGTCTCAGGATGTAAATGAGCGAAACCACCACATGAAGCTTCCCAAAACACAGCATTTCACATTCAACCTTTGCTTTTCCAGCCCTTCAGAGGCGCTGCTTTCTTTTCACCGCTCCAACCCAGGAGAGCACTGGTGCTCAGCCGACACAGGAGCTACCCACCGGCATCGGCCCGGCCGCGGTCACGAGGCATCAGTGGGATTTCAGAACTTAGCAGAGCACACACTTAAAAGCTGTATTTTTCCTTAATGGATTTCTGCATACGTTTAATTATTTTGTTGAACTGGAGCCACTGCAAGTGAGGGAATCATTATTCTAAAAAAGTAAACAAGGCCGGCTGCACATTCCTGCAAATATTCAATAGAAACAACACTCTTGACTCCAAAGGAGGAAAAAAGCAAAATTCTCCTCCAAAAGCCTCGTAATTGCTCTCAGTTTGGCTCTTTTTTGCCCCAGCCCTGGAGGCAGTTCCTGCAGAGGACAGCCCCGACTCGGGCTCGCAGCGACACGCACCCACGCACTCTGGGTTTCTGGTGGAAATACTCTGACAACGTGAGAAACCAAAACCGCTGGTGCAGCATGGTTACGAACTGAACACCCCAGCGGCGTCTGCCACAAGAAAGGTAATCCTGAACGCTGCTTGTCTCACGGCTGCCCCAGGAGCTCTGCAGCCGCGGCAGCCCCGACCCTTGCCCAGCAGCACCTTAATCAGGCTTTGCTTCTTCCCTGCCTGGACTGTTGCTGCCTGGAGACTCCTGGAGCTGTGGGGTGGGTCCGCAGAGGAGCCCCAGCTCCCCCATCCCACCGCAGCCCTCAGCTGGGACATCCCTCAGGTTCCCATGCCCAGCTGGGCTCGCGGGAGCTCTCTGCCCCTCGGCCAGCACTTCCCCAGGGGAGTTATGTTTCCCCTCAGCACCAGCGACTTCCTTCTTCCTTTCACTTCCACCTTTTGTCATATTAAAAAAAAAAAAAAAATAATTCTTTAGAAAATGACAGATACGTTTTATATTCCCATCATCTCAGCACTCATTTCCCCATCTTTCAGCTGCTCTCCTCTTGCTTCCTCCCTTTGCACGCCTCGAAGGCTGAAGCAATAACGTCTCGCTCCCCTTGGTGGGGTGACTGCCCACCCTGTCTCCATGGGGGAAGGTACAGGGATGAATATCCATGGGGGAAAACATCCCCAAAGTGTCACTGAATCAGAGCGAGAGATGCAGTCCCTGCTGATCGACTAAAGCAGCTCAACTATTGCCGTTGATCTAAGCCATCTGGGTAACCCTTCCTGAGAACAGTGGGGTGAGAAACCAACTTGGATTAGGGAAAGGGAGGGAATTAAGTCATCTCAAGTGTTTCCACCCACATGAACTGTCATCTGGAGCCACCAAAGCCCTGGGGGGCTTCCAAGCACAGAGCCCGTGGGAAGGCAACCTGGGATGGCTTCCCAGGATGTGGGATCCCGGGGAAATTATAGACACAACGGGGGACACCAGCCCTACACAGGGCCACGGGGAGCTGCTGCTGGCACCCCACAGCGGCTATGGGGATGGAGCGGGCAGCAGGAGGAGCAAGGGAGGGAGCACTGCCAGAGGGCCAGGGAGGATAAGCAACGGGAGAGAGCAAAAAGGGAATTGGATTGAAAGGATAACACACCTCTGTCTACTGTAAACTCTGCTGGGACTCGTAAACCTGGTGTCCCCCTCAAAACAAGCCTAGCAAAGTCAGGCCATATGCAAAACATGAAGGAGACTATCGCTGCATCACCACCAGCCCCAACGCCTGCCCATAAACCAGGCAGGGCTGTATTCCCAGGAGGAGATGAAAACTGCTCTCTCAGCAGATGGGACTTCTTGTAGTTACTAAGCACGTCTAAGCAAAGTTTCCCCTCCTCCCATCTACTCAAGCAGTTTCATTTTGCAAAGAGACACTTGGTTGGTCACCAGGTCAGACAGCAAGAAGGTACCAGTGAAGGGCACTCACCTAGATGAGGATCAGATCTGCTTCCCAAGTTGTGAAGGACTTTACACCACTGAGTTGTGAAGCATCAAGGAGGACAAAAAAAGCAAAGCAAAACAAAGGCAGGCAAGGCTCTGCCCTTGCAACTGCACATGCTGCTGCTGAGCAAGTTGCAAGGAGGTTTTCCCTCTCTCTCAGGCTTTTGTAGGAGTTAGTAATTAATTATTGTAATTACAAAAAGCTGAGACTCCCCCAGGAGCCAGTCTCCTGATATGACTCTTCTTTCTTGGGCTGCTGGGAATAGGTGGCTCAAAGGCTTCCCCGTTACCACTCCAGCCTTAAATAACAGGACTGCATCATGCCAGGAAAATAAAAAGATGAGATGGGATGTTGGGGAAGGGAAATAAAAGAAAAGCTTGATTATTTTTTTACACATTTGAGCTATGCAGATGATTCACAGCATATGGGATTTTAATTTGGGCTTTTAGTAGAAGAAAAACTACCAGCGTGTTTCTCAGTCAGGGCAACCAAAAAAATCTGGATTTTTTGTATTCTTGATATCCTTTTTCTTTTTTTTGCCTCGTAATCCTGGGTTTCACCAAGGTAATAGCTGGCCGGGGAGCAAATATAAAACCCTGATGGGGTAAATCAGTGCTGTTGGCATCATGGCATGCAGCGCTGAGCTCCAGCGGAGCATCCAGCGGGAGGGATGCGCTCGGCTGCCCTGTGCTCCTTCAAGCGCCTGACAGCGACTGCTCGTGAAAGCACCGCCGAAAAATGATGACAGGCCAGGATCAGAGAGGAGAAATGCTTTGCCATTCCACTCTAGTAACTATTAGACTTGTAAATACTGATCCAACCAAATCTGACCCCCCTCCTTCCAAGTGCTCAGGTGGTCAAACTGTGCCATCAGGCAATTCAAAACAAACAAAAAACCAAACAAGCATTATCATCACTTGTCATATTTATATTTTTGATTTTATTTTTAATTTTTATTAAAAAAACAACCATTATTAAAAATGAATCATTTGCTGGAAGGCTTCTGCCAGGGAGAACTCTCATTTCAATCTCGTGAACAAAATGCAGCACAGTTAAAACCCATAGGCATGAACAAAACCCAATAAAAAAAAAAAAAAAGAGAACAGTTCAGACCATAGCTTATAATTATGCAGTTTCCTCATTGTCAATAGAGAGGCTTTTGTTAAAAGCCTTCAATTCAGAATTTCATGGAAGACTTTTAAAACACAGGGGAAGAAGGAAACACATGCATGTTTAAAAAAAACAAACAACAATAAAAAAAACAGGAAAAAAAATTGCTTGGGTAATGGTTAATGAATTCAACAAATTTACTTCCTCCAAAGCAATCACTGTTCGCCCAGCCATACAGTTGGCCCTGGGTGATGTATTTGCTCAGAAAGCTGAACATACACAATTCCTGCCAAGTCATTCGTTTAATTTATTTCCCAATTCTGGCACTGCTTTGGAGGGGGGTTTCAGTGAGACCATGCCTGGCTTCCCGCTTTGGGAGCCTGGAGTTTTCAGTGCCAGTAGGTACCACTGGGAGCCTGGAAAAGAGGCTTTAATTCAGCCCCTTCTAGTCTCCCTCAGTGAGACAGCACCAAGGCGAGCTCTAAGCATCTCTCTGAGCTCCTGAACCAGGGCGGAATTAAGCACCTGCCCTTGTACGTACGTATCAAGCCCAAAACTGGATATGTTAAAAATTGCAAATTAGTGACTAATTTGTAAAAAAAAAAAAAAAAAAAGAAAACCCAAAACCACAACCTGTCCTCAGTGTGGGAACTTTAAGGTCAAAACCAAATAAAAATGGTCGTAAAATATATACATATATATATGGCTTTTCATTTTTCCTATCCATTTCGTCGGAAACAAAAATAAATTCAAGGGTGATATTTGGTTTTTAAAAACAATTCTGTCTTTCTCTTTAGCTGTCAGCCGGAGCGGATGGGATGGAGGCGCTCACGACGCGGCTCAGAATCCACCCGAGTTCTCCTTCATCCTCGCTAGTAACCGGGAGTAGACGGGTGCTGCAAGGAAGAGACCGAGTTGGGTGGGACAGACACACGGCATCTCCCTGTCCCCTCCCCTCCTAGTTATGCTACATCTTGCTTGGAGCAAGACAGCAGAATAAACCTCTCTTTAAGGGACAGGGACATATGACGGAAATTAGGAACAAGCTAGAGAAGTTGTTTTACCTAGTCGAGGATTCCTCTGAGAAACCTGCATGGAAAGAAAATACAAGGTTTGCATAAATACCACAAATCTCCGACAGCTATGAGAACAGTTTGCACGTCAGTATATTTATCCCTAGTCTCCCAAAATTATGGATGAATGACTCTTCATTATTGGAAGTTGACATATATAGTACCATGCCAAGGTTACATTCACAGTGTGCTGCAAACTGTAGGCTTCATGTTGCAAAATGTATTATTTCTTATATAATGAAATCATGCAAGAAGAGAGGGTTGGTCATTCCATGAAACACATACGCTCACTCTCTTTGGAAGTCAAAGTCTGAATGTGACATTATCTTCCAATCATTATTACCAAAATGTAACTTCAGTAGTTCTACAGTGAGGGATTTTTTTGTCTTTTACCTTGGATAACGCAGATGCCTGTTTGAAGATTTCTAATGCGGGATCTGCAGGCTCGTCACCTCTTTCTTGCGGCCTTGAAGCTAAGGGTGGGACATAGATAGCATTGAAATACTCTTCAAAGCACACAGGCTGCTTCCTTCCAGTGTTTTGGAGGATGTGTTGAAAATCCCATAACAGACTAATCCTCCTCAATAAACTGAAGCAATTGCCATGTGTCACCTCTCCCTCCCAAAGCAGCTCTGCTGTAACGGTGTGGCTCTAGATATTTCTAACCATGGACCTACCCTGAGGCTGTAAGACAGAGTTCACGGCATAAATCACACCATTCGTGGCCATGATATCGCATTCAGCAACAGGCTCCTTGTTGATATGTATTACGTTGTTTTTCTGTTCAAGAAAGGAAAAAGATTAAAAAAGTAGAAAATGAGAAACTTTTGTCATCGGTGGTTTCCAATTTTATTAAAAAAGCCCTCACTTTGCATTCATTCATTTACTGGATAGCTGTAGGCATTTTCATTCCTCTTGCCAATTAAGGAGAGCATAAAACCAAATTATAGGCTGAGCAGTTTGTCCTGGAGTGGCTGGCAGGCTTCGGAGCACGGACTTTCTCGGTGCGCTGGCTGGGACTGCTGTCCCGCGGCAGCAGAACAACACCTCCACCGGCTCCCTGGTAGCAGCGGGTGCTGCTGCTCGCGCCAAGAGGGATGGCTGCAGAGATGGCATCAGGAAAGGGCAGATCAGGACTGGGCACGGGAAGAGTCTAGCACACAAGTTGGCCAACTCAACGCGCTTGGAAACACTGGCCTTTCCATTTGTGTCCTGCGTTTTCTTCCTTATGCACAGAGTGGGTCATGGTTATTTGTTTTCTGAAATATATTTTTTTCCTCAGTAGAGGATCCTACATTCTCTTAATGTAGTGCAGAATTTGTGAAATGAAATTATACATCTACTGCGTTCAGCTCTGGGGCCCCCAACATAAGAAGGACATGAACCTGTTGGAGCGGGTCCAGAGGAGGCCACAAAGGTGATCAGAGGGCTGGAGCACCTCTCCTATGAAGACAGGCTGAGAGGGTTGGGGTTGTTCAGCCTGGAGAAGAGAAGGCTCCAGGGAGACCTTACAGCAGCCTTCCAGTATCTGAAGGGGGGTTACAAGAAAGCTGGAGAGGGACTTTTTACAAGGGCAGGTAGTGCTAGGACAAGGGGTAATGGCTTTAAACTGAAAGAGGGTAGATTTAGATTAGATACAAGGCAGAAATTCTTCACTCTGAGGGTGGTGAGACACTAGAACAGGTTGCCCAGAGAAGTTGTGGATGCCCCATCCCTGGAAGTGTTTAAGGCCAGGTTGGATGGGGCTTATAGCAACCTGGTCTAGTGGAAGATGTCCCTGCCCACAGGAGGGGGGTTGGAACTAGATGATCTTTAAGGTCCCTTCCAACCCAAACCATTCTATGATTCTACAATTCTATGATTCTAAATAAATCCTGCTGCGTTAAGGGAGCCCATGCAGCAATCATTTTCTTTACACTGAAGAAGATGTGTTAGCTGAACAAGCTATTCGTTTAATTTATTTATGCTTCTTCCTCCCGTGACTCAGGGTTAAATTTATAACAGCTCCTGGAAATCATTTACAATTGGTCTTCTGGGGAGAAAGCTGAAGAAAACCACATTTCAAGATTGCCAGCTTGTTGAGTTGAACATATGGCAACAGTCCCTCCGCTACAGCCCAGAAAACGCTGTTTGGTGGGACCGTGCTCACATTTAGAAGATGTTCCCACACCATCCAAATGCACACAGACATACTTTGATCCTTGACATGGACAGCTAAAGACAGACCACAGCCCTGCTGACCGCAAAACCCCATCCGAGGTGACTCACCATGCTGACTTCCAGTTTATCTCCCTGCATGGACTTCAGCCTCACAAGGGCACCGACTGCGCCGCTCACCAGGATCTCATCAGCCACGTGGAACTTGAGGATGTTGGCAAGCTCCTTGGCATTACCTGGGGGAAGAAAACATTTACATTTGCAAAACAGCATCAGCGCTTGCTTCCTGTATTTCACGTGCTGGAATGACATTACATGGAAAATACCATAATTTCCTGAAAGTGCAAGGAAAAAATGTAAAATTGAAAAGACTGGGCAGAAGGACCTTGGTTGGAGCTGGTTAGGACATTGAGGCCGTTCCTGCCTGGACAGGTCAGGATCCCAGCGAGTCCGGAAGGACACTCTCCCAATGTCCCACCTTGGTATGTACCAATCCTGCCCTATACATGAAATCCCTATCTCTTGGTTTTTCAGTCCCTCATTCTCTCGCTGTGCACAGCATGAACCTGCTTCTGTTGCTGTTTTCACTTCCCAAGGAAGTCTAGGGGAAAAAAAAAAAAAGACCTATGTGAAATAAGGAAGCAGATAGAGCACTCGGGTATTTGCAAACGTCAATACTTTCACCAACGCCAGTGTCACTTGGCAATAATCTTCAGAGCTGGAACTGCAGGATTCCTGGGAAGGAAGGGGGAAAGTGCAGAAGAAATGTCACTAATGGCTTGCAGGTTGCTGGCCTGATCCCCACCCTGCTGAGTCTCCAGTCATCTAGCCATGCTTTGAAAGAGATCTTAGGAAGATCAGATGCTTCCCCTTCACCATCTATTTTCCAGAAGAGGCAGTGACGTGCACAGCACGGGCCAGCAGCCCTCCTCCATCTTCTCCTTTAGAGGATGCAGTGTCATTGATAAAACCCACAGACAGGCGATGGGAACAGCTAGTGCAAAAGAGGGCCTCCATCTACAAAACCAGAGCAGCTCCTTCAGCAAGGGGGACTTTTTCTTTTAATGCTCGTATCTGAATACACTGTGAGCTTTCTTCCCCATTACAGTTTTTCTAGGGTGGCCACAGTGCACACTGCATGTCCTCACCAGCATGATTCACTTCTTCATCGGGAGCATAAGCTAAATATTTGCGTGAAAAAAGAAGAACATCTGAAGTGTCCGCATCTGGGATACTTCATTCCTGCAGCCGTTTACAATAGCTGCAAAACAGTTCTGAAATATTTATGTATTAAGCAGTAGACTGGATGTGCAGTCTGATATTAACAGTTCTTCATCCCTGCACTTAAAAGGATAACCAGCTACCATGGGCAGATGCTTCCCAAATTATGATGTCAATGTTTGGTTGGGCTTTAATGACGAGAAGACATTACACTCAAATACCTGGCATTGTTTCCAACCACAGCCGGTTTTCAACATGAACAAAATAAAAGATCATGCTGCTTATCCAGAAGAGCGTTATTAAACATTCCCATGCTTTTTTCCACACCCAGCCTGCACGCCTATGCTTTTCAGGATAGTGGTCTTCGTCTGTGCTAGACTGGAATATTTGTTGTCTTCTCAGGATCAGACTGGACTTCTTGCTTTGTCCATGTACACATAGATGGAGCAACAGCTCCATCCTTTTACTACTTAAGTTTCATACAGTGTAACTTGAGGCTGAATGTGGACCATGTTTTCTATTTGCAAACCTTACTTTAGAGACCCTGATCCTATGTGACTGACAGCCCCATTCTCACTTCTTTCATCCCTGAGAAAGGCAGAGACCTCATCGGTTCCTCTAGAAACACCTTACACCAGCCAGTACAGCCAAATTAAAGTCATAGTAAGTTTGTAGCACACACTAAAACACGTCTTCCAAGCACAAGGAAAGTATAAACCCATGCCCACACTTTGTGTGAGTTCAGTGCCACTCTGTGCATCCTCAGCTTTCTGCTGGATAGGGCTTATCCAAATCGGTGGTGTAGGAAGCTCATGCTTCCAACAGACAGGGTCAAAGAATGAGATATGCCAGAGAAACTTAGCCGTTCCTCCCCGTATCATGCCCATAACACACAGCAGCTGTTCATCTCAATGCTTTAAAAATGCTCACCCATTAGTTTGTTCAGTTCCCCTTGGGGCATGGCTCGGAAAGCTTCGTTCGTTGGAGCAAACACCGTGAAGGTACCTGGCCTGTTCAAGTTCTCCGTTAGACCTGCAGACTGGATTGCAGCCACCAACGTACTGCAAGACAAACATACATAAAATGCTTCACTATAAACTACTTTTGTTGGTCTTTGAGCAATTGCTTGTTGTGTTCAAAAGAGAGCTGTGAAGTTACAATTGCAAAATCCTGCTGGGGTCCAGCAAATCAATTAACCAAAAGGTTGATTAGGTAGGAAATGAGCCTGCAAGGTCCAGCCAGAACATCTGAGAAATGGCAAAGCAAGCTGGGAATGCTGGCTCCTTGGGGACCAAATGGTAGTGAGGAAACAGAGAGGCCTGTCCACAGTGGCTCTGATGGGCAGAGATGGCTTTGGAGCTAGCTTCTTGCTGTATCAAGGGGGACCACACCATCTTGGCTCACAGTTCATTGAAGGGTTATTTGAAGTCTCACTCCCTATAATTTAGGGATGAGACCACGGTTTTGGATGCTCTTTCTATGTTAAAAAACATATACATAGTCATGACTACGACCCATAATAAATAGAAACTATTTTGGCAGCTCTTCTGCTCCTAACTAGCACTTCGGAAGAGAAGAAAGGTCACCTGAAGCGATGGTCTGCCTTGAGAACATCCATCACTGAGCCAGACGGTGGAGTCAACATTTTGTCCACGCTGAACAGGGTCCCAAACCTTCCTCTCTTGTCATGGGCAGCAATGCAGGCATTTTCAATGCAAAGGTTCTGCAAACAAAATTGCAGAAAAAAGACATTATTAACGCTTGGAAAGAGAGTTTTTTATACTTTCCACAATGCTCAGTTACACTTTTTACATGATAGCCATAACACTACAGACATCAAGCATCATTCAGCCATATACAGCACTGCACACTGCAGGAACTTACATTGCGGTACACAAAAACTCTCAGTTCCTTGTCACCCAGAGTCTGTAGCTTCTGTCCATGGTAAAGATATTTAGAGGAGAGCTGGTCTCTAACAATGTGGTTGAGAAGCAAGTTTTTCATGTTGCTGTCAACAATGGGGAGTCCATCTGCAGCAAGAAGTATGGAAAGAACCAGTGATTCACTTACTTAAAATGACCATTGAGACACTAAACAAGTGCAAATACAGAGTATTATTTGTACCAGGTTTTAACTTTAAAGCTAGGTGCCACTGCCTATAGCTGAGGCATTTGAGAGAGGGTTTGCATGCTTCTGCACTGAAACTTGGCTGAAGACCGTCTGAAGCAGATCTGTGCCCCAAACTGATGGAAGAAAGGGATTTACTCCCTGGTTTACCTTTGAACACATCATTCACTGGGGCAAGGAGGGTCACTCGCTCACTGCCAGTTAGATGAGAACTGAGACCAGCTTGTCTGAAAAGGTCCATAGACTTGGAAACTTCAGATTCTTGTGCCAACTCAAACAGGGTCTTAGCTGAAAAGAAAAGCAACGCATAGCAACCTTGCGTTAAAGGCACTCCACCCATCACTACAAAACATCTACACCCTCTAAATCCAGTATTTCCTTGGCAAAATAGAGAAAAGAAAGGCAACAGAAAGAAAGGTGCAGAGAGGCACCAGTACCTGAGTCTGGGATCAGCAGCTCATTAACAAAATGTACAACGCCGTTGGTTGCCAGGACATCCTTGTTGGCAATGATGGGCTTCCCGTTGAGGGTCAGCTCTTCCCCACTGCAGCCCACGTCCAAGGTGGTTCCTTCCAGAGTCTCCATCGTCAGGCCAGCGATGATGGCCTCAGCACACATGGCTGACTTCAGGATGTGATGGTTCAGCAAAAAGCAAGTGTCTCAGTGAGCTGCAAAAATCAACTATGAAATTATTGCAGCTTTTAGGGATCAATGGCAAGGGCCTCCTGTACTGTGCTGTACTGGATGGGGCTCCACCCCAAAAGTTGCACAGTCTTTTTAAATTGTGCTGATTTTAATTCAGCAGCCTGTGAAATGAAGTGCCTAAAAGGAGTAATTTTTATACACCTTTGTGAACTTCAAAAGGTTTCGTGTGCTTATTTGACTCATTGGTCAGGGGAAGTTACATCGATCAGACACCAGTCTTCTTGCATCTTGCTGGATTGATAGAAATCACCATCACATGCAGGAGTGCTAAAGGAAAACTAGGAAAAGGGACTGCTTCAGCTCCCTCCTCCGATCTGGATACCTCTCTGCCACGTCTACACGTCTACCATAGCTGTGTCCAAAGAAGTCTGGGCTGTCCAGTTTAGAAAGCTGGAGTCTGTCAAATGTGTTTACTGCAGCTGTTGTCAGAGCGTATCAAGGAGCCGTTCAGATGTCCTTGAGAAGGAATTTAGAAGAACTGAAAAATACTCGTCAGTCCCTCAATGGGCTCAGTAAACAAGCACTTACCCCTCAGGGCTTCTGGGTCCCCCAGGATCCTGTTCAGAGTTTCTCGCGGGATCTTCTCAAAGGCTTCGTTGGTTGGAGCCAAGAGCGTGTACTGGCCCTCGCTTTCCAGCAAGCTGTTGAGGTCAGAAGCAGCCACAGCAGCCTTCAGAGAAATGAGGAGAGAGGGTAAAACACATTCAGCCAGAATACAAAGGTCGGCAACTTTGTCCAGGCACATGCTGAGGGCCAGATTTATTAAGGCTTTTATAATTTCAGAGGACTTACAAAAAATCCTGAATGGCTTCTTTCAGCACTTTGGTCCCTTTATAAATTTGACCCGGCCCCATGTGCTCCAGAAATTTGAGTACAAGAGCCCTTTTTTGGCAAGACTGAGAGCTATTGCAAATACCCTGATATGCCTGGAAGTGGTTCCAGGGAATAATTCAGATCAGAACCCACAGCTGGCTAACTGCAAAACCCCTGTGCTTTTTAAGTTATTCCTTAACTTGGCAAATACCAAGGCAAATAAATTGGTACTCATCAAATCCGAACAGTTAATATCTCCTAAGGCTAAGACTCCCATAGAAGAGTGAGGAGACAGACTCAGTCTACATCTCTTCACTGACAGCAATAGCAGGGTGACTTATTCTCGTAAAATCCTACTTGCGCTGGTATCAAACACTTCTCTTCCTAAAGCAAAACAAGCTATATTGATACAAGGATTTTATCAGCAGCTTTAGAGTCGCGGCACCTAGGCACCGGCAAGCTCTTCATGACAATTCACTGGGAGTGGGATGACTGAACATCTTTTAGGAGCCCTGGAGCACTCGTGGGGTGGACTCACCCGGAGAGTTTCCAGGCTTTCCTCAGTCTCAATGATATGCTGAATGCTGTTTGTAGTGGTGGCGATGACTTTGTCGATGACATGAACCACTCCGTTGGTGGCATGGTGGTCAGCTTTCAACAGCCTGGCACAGTTCACAGTCACAATCTGCAGAGGGAAAATAAAACAAGAAGGTAAAGCAGCCTCTGCTGTTTTTCTATTTCATACGGAGCGAGCCCTATAATACTGAATCAGCAGGAGCAGAAATGTGGCTTCCTAAAAAAACACACAAAGAATGAGAATGCTCTATCAAGAACGTTTGAAACATTTCATGTTTAAAGAGCTTTGCAAATAATCGGTGGTTTTGTCTATCCTGAATCATCAAGACTGAGAAAATAGGCAAGAAGCAATACTTAGGCAAGCATACTGTTACACAGCAATGTGGGCAACTTCCCAGCAATAGCATCGATGAAACTATCTGCTTATACATATTCTTTTCAAGCTCCTTCTAAATATGTATCCTAAATCAGTAGTTGTCCACCTAAGCATTACAGAGTCCTGGAGGTCGAAGGACAGCGTGGGAAGTGCCAGGCAGCAGAAAAGCAAGCCCACTGTGGGTAGGTTTAACACAAAGGTCTTACCCCATTGGGATAGTGGTGAATCTGGATAGGCAGGTCCTGGTACATTGAGTTAAGTGTGGTCCCATGTTTCAGATCGTCCGTGAGGACCCGTTTGTTCACCATGTGGTAGCGGAGGGCGTTGAGCAGCTCAATGTTAACGTTACTGACTAAGGAATCCAGAGTTTCCTGAAAATCAGAAAAATTTGTTTTTCAGTGCTGAGTGCAATTAAGCCGGTTGTTAGAGAGAGCCAGGAGGTCTGGCTGCATCCAGGGTGCTTCCAAGGGGTGTGTGTGCGCGTATATTAAGTGATGTATTCAGCCTTAAGCCATCTGTGTAAATTAAGAGCTCCAGCTTTCGTAAATCTTTATCTTTTGCCTCACGACAGCAGCTGGCAGCCCTGGCACCCCCCGTCCTTGGCAGACGAAGGGATGATGGCAGTAAGCTCCAGCATGGGATCACTGCATCGAAATGAGCAGTAAGGCAACAAAAGGCATCGCTCAGGGCCAAGGACAAATACAGCAGGAGACCTTCCCCAACAGCACCATCCCTGCGAGGGGCTCTGCTGGCGCACGTTTGGGGTAGAGGCTTGGTAGTGGGGATAGCCAAAAAGATGCCCCCTCCCTGCCCCAATGGTTGTTCTTACATATTTATGGACAAGTGATTTAAATGTGGGATGTAACTGGGTAGGGGTTGTACAATCGGGACTCTCCCCTGTTCGCAGAGATGCTCCACTAGGACGGGAGCACCAGCAGGACAGCGGTGACAATTTCAGGAGTAGAAGTTTCACAAGACACAGAGTGAGAAAATCAAAACCAATGTAAAGGAAATTTATACGTAATTGAGCATAGGAACACAGTGATGCAGGAAGGCTGCAGGTTTATCGAGGCTCCAGTTGGGACTGGCTACTTGTACAAATTATTAAGAACAACCAGAGTGGTAAAGTAAGGGTCAACAAGAAAAACCGAAAGGGATGGAAAGTCTCTTGCTGCAGGTCTTAATGCAATCTCTAACGGTAAGAGGCAGGGAAAACGGAATGAGGTGATTTCTACATCCACCTGCTGGAGAGCATCCACATCTTCCTAGTGTTGGGCTCTTTCAGAAACAAAGCTCTGGAGCTGATGGACCATCTTGGAAATTCATAGTCCTTCCTATATCAGGACTGTGTCTATTCTGCCAGATGGGGTGGATCCAGACCCCTGCAGAGCTGGATCTCCACTAGAGAAAGCCAGAGGAAGAGGAGAAAGAAGAGGAACTATATCTTACAGCAGACAAGGATGCCCAGGCCTCATTACTTGGGGCAAAAATTGTAAAACTTCCAGGTCCTTCGATTTCTGGCCTTAGGTTAGACCGGTCGGAGTAGAGCTGCGTGGTGGCAGACCCAACAACTCCCAGGGTTTCATAGATGTTTGAGAGCGGCAGCGCTGAAAGAAGAGAAGGTTATGTTCCCGATGCAACACCATTCATCCTTCCCTGCGCTGCGCTGAATTAAAGGAGAGCTGCTGGTGAAAACGCTTGGGGAAACGAAGCACATCAGGGAACTCGTATCTGTTCATTAATTAGATAACAAATAATCATGGCCTGACAGCTCCAGCCTCAATTACAGCAGTGTAATCCAGGATCTGCTGCATCTCTGCAGGTTTCAATGGAGTTACTCTGGATTTATATGGATGTGAATTGAGGCAAGCAAAGATACTCATTGCTTTCACCTGATCCTTGTTTGTACTCAGGCTTTTGGTGCTCGGAGCTGGCAGCTCACCACTGGTCTCGGTCTCCACTGACCCATCCACACCAGCCACGTAATTAACGGGGCGGCATCAAACTTTTGTGGAAGGAAGCGTTCAGAAAGCAAAAGCAGAATATGCCTTTCTTCAATAAACCCAGTTAATTCCCTCCCAACCCCCACCAGTGGCTGAACTGTATTTTCTCCTAAATGCAATTTGGCTAAACTCATGCCAAAGTAAAAATGAGCAGAGATTGGCAGAGCTGTCTGCTACTCTATCATTCCTTTGTATTGCATTTCCAATACAGCTATATTACTTGTTGGAATAAGTAGTTCCCTATGGCCCTCCTATGCCTGATTAAGTTTAATTATATCCAAGGTTTTAAGTTGTCTGGAACACTTTGCATGCTTGGAGCTGATCTGGCACTCAGCTGGTGCTCTGCTGAGTCCATTTTTGACTTGTTCATGGCACTATTGTGCACAAATTGCAAAAATCAAATCCACTTTGAGTAATTTTCTAACATTTCCCTTTACTAGGCAGCTGTATAATTTTAAGAAGTGTAAAAAATGTCAAACATATTTTTACCAGCTGGGCAGCCTTTTTCTCCAGGAACTTTTTCATATCCAGGACAGCACTCGTAACTGATTACTCTGGAATAAGAGATGGATATGGCAGATTAACTGACGGCGTCTCACTGCTTTTTCTCTATTCGCTATAGTTCTGTGTCCATCCATATTTGGTGATGTTTCTAAGCAGATTCTTCATTAGAAATATAGACTTGAACAAAAGACAAACCACAATTTTTATCTCCTTCAGGGCTGCATGTTGCCAATTTCTCCACCAAACAAAAGCAGACACAATTTCTTTTCAAAACCACACTTTCCAGGAGACTTTGTACAAACAGTGGATGGAAACAGATGCCACGGTCCCAACAGATAACCTACACAAGACACTGCAAGTGCTGGTTCATTTGGGCACATTTCCCATGGGATTTGGGGATCTCCCTGGCTGACTGCTGCTGTCACATCTGATCACTGTTTGGGCAACACACTGCAACTCCGCTTTACCAAACCAGCCAAGCGTTTCCCCTTCATTTCACCCCATTCTTGTCCACCACCAGAAATTATTTGCTTACTTACGGCAAAATCCACAAGACAGACCTGGAGGGGAAAGAGCATCCTTGGTCTTGGATGCAGTGGCACAAGGGCTTGGGATAAGCCCTGCAAGGACAAACTTCCCCCCTGGTGACGTGCATCCACGGGCACCCCGAGGCAGTACTGCAGCACACCCGGCTTGGCTAACACTGGTATGCCCGTGCGAGCACCCTCAGCGCGGCATTTCCTTCTGGCTGGCAGCAAACTGCTGCTCTGATCAAGCACTATCCCCCAGTAAAGCCAAAGGGGCCAGAGACCCCATCCTGGGGACTCGGGGCCGTCCTGCAGATCTGTAGACCCTAAATAAGCAAGACCTGCCTGAATGCTGCATCCATCATCTGCAGCTCAATGGGAAATAAAAGTCGTCCGATTCTCAAAGCTGGCCATTTGACGGAACATGTTTTGATATTAACGGGGGGCGAAGAAAAAGGAAAAAAAAAATCAATCCAGAAGTTGCCCGTTTATTTTTCACCGGGGGTTCTTCCACCTATTGCTCTTAGGCTCAGTTTGAAAGGAGCAAGGCCATCTGATTGATGGGCTAAAGACAGCCAGGGAATAGGTGTTCCTCCCAAAGACAAGTGTTTCCTCTGTGCTCCCGGTTGGATTTGAGACAAGTAGGATGCTGTATTGCCGAGCCTCAGCACACTCGCTCAAAGAGAAAGGAAAATCCGCAAGCTTCAGATATTTGTCATCATTTTAGCACTGTTAACAAACAGTGGAAATGCCTGGGGTTTAAGAGGGAATTCTTCAGGGTAATTAAGAGCCAGTAAGTGAAACAAATACCTGCTTTTCTGTGACAGAAGCAAATAAATTCTGTGTCATGGTTTCCTAAGAGAATTACAAAGCAAACCCAGACTGATTGTCTAGACATTATATATT